TTTTAGATGGAGGCATATTGGAGGCAGGGCAAGAGAGAGCCGTCTTTACTGACTGTACACTCCACCTCCTTCTACTCCCCCACTTGTCCTGATTTAGGCTAACATCAGATTTTAACCATAGGCCCTATCAAATAAAAATGGTTTAAGCCTAGTCTTAAAAGTAGACAAGATGTATGCCACAATGATTAAAGCTGGGAGCTGGTTCCACAGGAGAGGAGCCTGGTAACTAAAAGATCTGCCTCCCATCCTATTTTTAGATATTCTGGGAACCACCAGTAAACCTGCAGTCTGACAGTGAAGTGCTCGGTTAGGAATGTATGGAACAATCAGATCACTGATGTATGATGGAGCTTGATTATTATTTATATGTGAGAAGAAGGATCTTAAAATCTATTCTGAATTTAACAGGTAGCCAATGTAGGGAAGCTAAGACAGGAGAGATATGATCGCTCTTTTTAATTCTCATCAGAACTCTAGCTGCAGCATTTTGGACAAGCTGAAGACTTTTAACTACATTCTGTGGACTTCCTGATATTAATGAATTACAGTAATCCAGTCTTGATGTAATAAATGCATGAACTAGTTTTTCAGCATCACTCCTGGAAAGGATGCTTCTAATCATAGCAATATTCCGAAGGTGAAACTAGGAAGTCCTACAAACCTGCTTAACGTGGGATTTGAATGGCATGTCCTTGTCGAAGATAACACCAAGGTTCCTTACTTTGTTCTCTGAGACTTATTTAATGCCGTTCAGGTCAGGTGATTGACTAAGATATTTTCTTTTGTGGATTTCTGGTCCAAAGATGAGAACTTCAGTCTTGTCTTGATTTAAAAGCAAACAGTTTTGAGTCATCCAATTTTTTATGTCTTCATGACAAGCCTGTAATCTACCTAACCGATTAGGTTCATCAGGGTTAATGAATGAATATAACCGAGTATCGTCAGAATAATAGTGGAAGTTTATCCCATGCTGTCAAATGATTTTACCAATGAGAAGCATATATATAGTAAAAAGAATTGGTCCAAGCACAGAACCCTGTGGTACTCCATAAGTAACCCTGGAGTGTGAAGAAGATTTGTCATGTGCATTTACAAAATGAAATCAATCTGACAGGTAGGATTTAAACTAGGGATGAGCACATAGGCGTCATTTTAACCGGGGACGCCGGGGACATGTCCCCGGCAAAATTTGTGATTGGCAGCAGTGCCCCCCCACTTTCAAAAACGCCTGCTGATGAGGATTTTTGTTTTACCAGCTCAGATCTTATACCAGGGGTCGGCAACCTATTCCCATCAAAGAGCCATTATTACCCATTTCCCATGGTAATTTTGGACGGACCTTAATAAGCAGTGACTTAAGTGAAGCAGGCAGGTCGCGCTAGAAAATTTAGTTTAAAAAGATGTCATAAATGTTTTCCCCCGTCCTTTTTATTTATAAAGTTGAAGTAAAAACTCACAATTTAATTTTCATTCATTTGTCATTAATATGTAGTCTACACCCGTGCGTTAAGTGGACCATCTTCCAGTAAACGCAAAGCATCCAGCACCACCTCTCCAAATGCGTAAAATGTGCATCAGCCGCTAGTTAGGCGTGTCGCGCGCACCATCAGCTGATCAGCCCAGACAAGAGCAGAGCAAATAGAGAAAGAATAGAGGATAATTGTGTCTGGATGTGGATGGAGATTACATTTTACAGCAGCCTGATCATCATTTAAATACGTAAACCATCACCTGGCTTCTAGTCCATGCTATCAGCATTATTTTAATTGGTGTGTGTGTGTGTGTGTGTGTGTGTGTGTGTGTGTGTGTGTGTGTGTGTGTGTGTGTGTGTGTTTTCCACTTCAAACACTGGTCTAACCAACCAGACCAGCGTGTCCAGTAACATATTAATGTTACAATTAAACAGTTACACTTCATGTAGGCTAGGAACGTTTCACCTGCGGTGGCCCGACCGCTTCTGCTCCACATAAACTTTGTCCGTGATCAAACGTCTCTACGCGCCATGCGTCTCCATATTAGAGACGGGAACAAGCGCTGTTCAGCCAAAGTTTCATAATTTCATAAAAAGAACATTTTTCCAAGTGACACATCCCTCAGAGAGACCGGGTTTCCAGACTGTTTCAGTGGGAGGAAATCTTATCGCATGCACCGTGGTTCTGCACTGTGCTGCGAACCCCAGATCTTCAGCTCACTGTCCACCGTGGGTGCTCCGAGCTGCGCTGAACACAGTGTCCAGTATAAAGCTCTGATGTTCTGATGGGAATATTTTACCTCCGCGATGTGCGTTAACGATTAAAATGTCAGCTCATCCATGCGCATCAGTGTGCGTCGGGGTAATTCTTTCAAACCAAGCAACATCCTTGAGTTCATCTGTCAAAATAAACAGTCAAATGGAAATATATTTAACCTGCCATTTAACTGTTTTGCCTTCCTGTGAAGATTGTTGCAAAGAGAAACAATTAAACTTGATTAACCCCAGAGCCACCCAGAGAACCAGAGCGCATGCAGGAAGATTCCTCCCACTGAAGCGAGTGTTTTCCAAACCCTGTCTCTCAGACAGACTTGTCCCTTAGAAAATGTTCCCTGATTATGAAACTTTGGCTGAATAGTGCTTGTTCCTGTCTCCAATGTGGCGACACATCCAGGAGCCGTCTGAGAAGAATCCCAGAATCTCACATCCTCTTCAGCTCATAAAGCGCTAATATGATTACGCACAAGCGTGACGCGTCAACCAGGTCTCACAGTAAGACCGGGTTGGAACTGTTCAGGTTTACGCAGACAATCTTTACATTTAGAATTGGCATACAGGTGTAAAATTAATGCAGTAAAATATAAAGCATTTTATTTAAATATCCATTCATTATTTTACAAGCACAGAGAGCCGCATCAGATGGATGGAAGAGCCGCATGCAGCTCCAGAGCCGCGGATTGCCGACCCCTGTGCTAGTCTACTTTATTGTCCCCAGCAATTTTTAAACCCCACTCAAGTGTATGGTTATTGTCCCCAGCAATTCTGAAAACAAACTGACGCCCTTGGATGAGCAAGATAAACCATTTTTGACGAATACGAGCATGAAATGAGTATAACTCGTAAATATCTGTAATCGTGTTGAAGGAAAATCCTCATTGGGTAACTGCCTGTCTTCACACTCTGATTAGCCAGTCACATAGAGCGCCCGCCCCTCCCTACACACAAAACTCTGCAGCCGGGAGCTCAGTCCGTCCGGCCAATCCACGCACACACACAGACAGTAACAGATCTCTCTGTGCTTGCTTCACTGTTGCTCACGTTTCTTCAGTTTTCCCTAGGTTTTCCTCAGCTCGCCTATTTTTCGGCTGAATACTTAAAGTTACTTTTCTCATAACTTACGTGGTGCATTTGACAAGACAGAGCTGACGTGCTGCGTCAGTCACTGCCTCCGCTTCAGGTTTTTTTTAACTCTCTCTCTCTCTCTCTCTCTCTCTATCTCTATCTCTCTCTCACACACACACACACACCTTAATCAACATTGTTTTATAACTTTGTGTGGGAAACATGCCAAGAACGTTAAGAAAAAAATCTGTTTAATCAAATTAAAATAAAAAATATATATAAAGTTATGTCTGGTGCTAGTATTTCATATTTCCTAGTTCCTACTGCATGAGTTCAGATGTATTAATCCATGCACTTAAATAATAATGTTCTGATTTTATTGAACAACTTGTTCTGTAATAGTTCCTTTATTATTGTGTTCAAAAATATTTAATCTCAATTCTGAGGGTGCTCTGTAAATATTTTTTCAAATAAACAAGGAAATGCATCCTTAAATAATTTGGTTGGGATTAGATCTAAAATGCAAGTTGAAGGTTTAAATGAAGCTAATATTTTTGATAACTCTGAAAGCTCAACTGGATCAAAACGGTTCAAACACAGATGAGGTTCTACAGTTACCTCTGATGCTGCCTCACTTACTGAGGAAGGAAAAATTGCATTAGGAAGGGTGCTAATTATTTTGTTTCTAATTCATTTTACTTGTTAAAAATCCCATAAAGTCATTACTGCTGAGGGCTAAGGGAATAGATGGTTCAGAGCTATGACTCTTTGTAAGTTTGGCAACTGCACTGAAAAGAAATTTAGAATTATTCTTATTCTCCTCAATTAACGATGAAACATATGTGGTTCTTGCTTGTCTAAGCTTATTTTTATAAAGCACAAGACTATTTTTCCAGGATAAGTAGGACTCCTTCTGGTATGTAGAGCGCCATGTTCTCTCCAATTTCCTAGTTTTGTTTAAAGGCTCGTAAATGATAATTAAACCAGGGAGCCAACTTCATGTGCCTAATTAACTTCTATTTTAAAGGGGCAACATCATCTAATGCCACACATAAAGAGGAATTAACATGATGAACTAATGCATCAATTTGTGAGGGGCTAGAAATGAAAATATTGCCCTCTGCTACATGCCTCTGAGATGCTGAGGACAGTAAAGATGGAACAGTTGATTTAAAAGATGCAACTGCGTTGTCAGAGACTGACTATGGTGAAATTTACTTTCATGTCTCGAGAACTCAGTTGTAAAAAACTCAAAGGTTATCAGAAAGTGGTCCGAGAGGACTGGATTATGTGGAAATGTCATTATTTCCTCACACTGTCATGATCCGCCCCGGCCTCCCTGACTGTGTCTCTCCTGCCTTGATTAACCTTATTGTTCTCACCTGTCCCTCGTTACTCTGCCCATGTGTTCCTGATTTCCCTGTGTATTTATATCTCCCTCCTTGTTGCTGTCTTCATCTGATCATTGTTTGTTCATGCGTGTTTTGTCCCGTCTCTCCCGTTCCACCATTAAACCATTTTTATTTTTTTCATCCGTGCCTGCTTTCCTGCCTCCTTAACCCTCCACCACACTTGGTCCGCCATCTCCACCCTCACATCATGACACACACTCTATGCCATAAGTCAGCACAAGGTCTAATGTATGATGACAGGAGTGGGTGGAACTATGTATTCTTTGGGCAAAACCAATTGAGTCTAAGATATTACTAAAGGCTACATTGAGGCTATCATTTTCAATGTCCACATGAATATTAAAATCCCCCACTACAATGACCTTATCAGTATTTAGCACCAAATCAGATAAAAAATCAGAGATCTGATCCAAAAACTCAGAATAAGGGCCTGGTGGACAATATAAAACTGCAAACAAGAGTGGGTTTTACAGTTTTGCAATCTGGATTAGGAAAACTAAGAATAAGATGTTCAAACGAACTGTAATTATTAATTGGTAAGGGATTGATTAATCGGTCTGAATGAAAAATGGTTGCTACTCCTCTTCGCCCTGTACTTCGAGCAATATGATGATTTAAATAATTAGAAGGAGTCGACTTGTTTAAACTAACATAGTCCTCTTGCTGCAGCCAGGATTCTGAGAGAGAGAGCAAAGAGATCTGATTATCACAAATCAAGTCATTAAGTATAATATCTTAGTCTTAGAAAAAATAGACCTAATGTTCAACACACACACTTCTAGCCAGCAAATCGAGCTAAAACACATTGTTTTACAATTATTATTCTCATGGTATGTTATTTCTTCATATACAAACTGCTCGGCCAAAAAAAGTCACTGCCAAAAAAAAGGTCACACACTAACATTTAATTGGACCGCCTTTAGCTTTGATTACATCACCCATTTGCTGTGGTGTTGTTTGAATAAGCTTCTGCAGCATTACCAGATTTAGTTCCATCCATTAAAGGCACAGTCTGCAACATTTAAATGTAGAATAACTTTAAAAATGTTTGATTTTGACCATCTGACCCAATTTTATCAAAAAAAGTAAATAATCTTTAATATTTCAATTTTCTCCTTAGTCCCTCCCCTGCCCTGTAGAGCTCAGCCAATGGCTGTGTCTCAATTCAGGGTCTGCATCCTACCTCGGCCGGATTCGTCGGCCGGTTACGTCACAGCGCCGCGACTCGGCCTGTCCCAATTCGAAGACTCCTTCAAATGCGGTCGACGAATGCGGCCTTCTTTTTGCCTGAATGAAGGATGGGTCGGGTGTATCCTTCAATAGGTAGCATTTCCCAAGATGCCTTGCGGGCCGGCCGGCAGAAAAACTTAAAAACAATGGCGGACAGTGAAGCGGGAGCTGTCGGAGAGGATTGCGCATATAAATGTAAGTATAAACTTGAAAACTGTCAGTTTAAGGACTTTTTGTGATACATGAACGTTATTTTAGTTAGAAATGTTACAGTAAAAGTGCTTGTATTGCGGTCTCGGCTCGTATGTTCGGCCGCGCTCGGTGTCGTACTTCTCCCGCTACGTTTCCCCCTGATTTTAATAGAAGTTTGTATTTTAGGACCAAAAGAGAAAACCAGGGAATTTATTAAGCTTAGGGCGGAGATGGACCACATGATCACCGGAGCAAAGTATTCGGCGGCTGTGGCATGGAGGTACAATAACATCTCATATTTTAAAAACTCGTTTGAGTTTATTTTTATCTGCGAAAACATGAAAGGAATAACCCGTTGTCCTCTTTTCTCTTCCTGTGTCTTTTCTTACATGTTTGTTAAGACTATTCTGGAGAAAATGGGCATCCAGGGGAAGGTGCCAGCGATGAGCTTCTGGAGCTGATCTGGGAGGAATTGAGGCTGCAGAGGGAGGCAGAGCTGCAGAGAGCACAGGAGAGAAGGAAGAATTTTGACAGCTTTTTACTTTGCTAGAAAAAAATGGTTAAGGAAGATTAAATATGTACATGTAAAAGAAATATCTAAATAAAATCAGTTCTGCATTAAACTCTTCAATTTTATTTTTGTTTACAAATGAGAATTGTTTACTAGAGGGTATCCGCTGGGTCTTGAAAAGTCTTAAAAGGTGATAAATCGGTTTTGGTCAAGTTAAGACCCTTAGAAAGTATTAAAAACTATTATCACATCTTTGCTCAGGCTCAGCTAGTCTAAAGTATTTTCTCTGAATTAGCTCTCCAACAGTCAAGGAAATGATTAACCCCAGAGACCCACGGTTGTAATATTACAACATCAGATTTAAGTCCACAAAAATAAACCTTCCCCATTTTTTTTCTTTTTAAAACCACATTTACATTGCTAATAGGTCCTATTGTTCAGTTCTGCAACACTATTGGCTGTTAAAATGTGTAAATAGGCCCGTTTATCTGGCCTCCTAGAACAACATGTGAAAGGTAAAAAAAATATTTTGCAGTTGTTTTCTAAATTTGGGTTTCTGGGGGTTAAAAAGCTAAATAAAACGTCAAGCTCCATCGTTTAATGTTCCTTCTGCCCAGCGGTTCCACGGTTGCTAGGCGACGGAACGTTCCCGAGGGAGTTCATGAAGGCTAGGCCTGTCCAAATTCACATCCGTTAACATCCGGTCTACCCGGCCGACGGAGGACGCAGCCCACGTCGGCCGGGTGGGCTGGGTCCTTCGAAGGATGCAGACCCTGAATTGAGACACAGCCAATATTTCTGCAAGCCTAACGCATTGACCAAGAGCGCTGCGTTTCCACCAGGGGGCAGCTGTCAATCATCGAGCACGAGCAGGTCTCAGCGCACAACAGTGTCACGCGCCTCACTCGGCTTACTGCAGAAACATGGAGCAACAAAACCCCAAATTACCGATTCCTCGACTGCCTTCCACATCTCAAAAAACATTTAAAAAGTTTAAAAGCCCTTCTTCAAAAGTGGCTGTAAGACGTTTGAGACACTCGAGTAGAATTTACATTGGAGATTGTTTTACACACGATGGAGAGATTTTCGTGATCTACACGGCCTGAAAATGGATAAAGAGTTGGCAAAGTATCTTTTAGACAGGTAAGTTATTTATTGTTTTTCGGATAAATTTACTTATAATCTTTCTTTCACTGAAAGAAGTAATAGAGCAAACAAGCTTTGTATGCTTGGTGTCCTATTGGCTAATGTAGCATTAGCTTGAATGCTAAGTCGACATGAATCGATGCTAGTCGAACTATTTATGCTATATTTGGAAGAAGTTTGAGTAACGAAAGGGGATTTTAGTTTTTTGTTTATATGGGATCCAGCGCTGGACTGACCATAGGGCATAGCGGGCAACTGCCCGCTGGGCCGACCCTTTCATCTTTTATGGGCCGGTGTCTGTTTTTTTTTTTTTCCTGGCCTCTAGTTGTTGCGGACAACTTGTCCGCGCCGCCCCACGCGACGCCTCGTAAAAGTTGGTGGATTGGCCAATTGGTAATAATACAAGACTGGGCTGGACCAATAGCCAGAGGTCTGATGCACCCGCCAGTTGTTTGTGAATCTCAGTAAACAGACAGACGAGCTTAACAAAATGGCATAGGCGTCATTTTAACCGGGGACGCCGGGGACATGTCCCCAGCAAAATTTGTGATTGGCAGCTGTGTCCCCCCCACTTTAAAAAAGCCTGCTGATGAGGATTTTTGTTTTACCAGCTCAGATCTTATACCAGGGGTCGGCAACCTGTTCCCATCAAAGAGCCATTATTACCCGTTTCCCACAGTAAAGAAAACACTGGGAGCCACAGCGGCCGCAGCGTTGTGGGCGGGGCCTACCCTCAGACAGCAGAGCGCTGCTCACAACATGACAGCAGCCGGCACCGGTCGCTCGCATGGGCGTCGCACCCGTGGGGGATTCAACACCCACACTTTTCCAGCTGTTTTGCTCACCTCCACACCAGTCTGGTTTCTTTACGTCGCACTCACTCTGTTTGCCTCATCTCCTTCTTCACCTCCCGCTTCTGACAGCCGATGTCGGGTTTCCAGGAGAGCAGGAGAGGGAGGGACAGAAGAGCTCGACTGAATTCATAATTTTACATCTTGACATTAGCTGTACAAAGTCTGAGATTGATAAAGTGAAGAACAACAATTTGCAGAGGTTTACAACAGGCGCGGCGCCAGGTTTTCATTTTTGGGTGGGCCACGGTAATTCTGGACGGACCTTAATAAGCAGCGACTTCAGTGAAGCAGGCAGGTCGCGCTAGAAAATTTAGTTTAAAAAGACGTCATAAATGTTTTCCCCCGTCATTTTTATTTATAAAATATGAAGTAAAAACTCACAATTTAATTTTCATTCATTTGTCATTAATATGTAGTCTACACCCGTGCGTTAAGTGGACCATCTTCCAGTAAAAACAAAGCTTCCAGCCCACCTCTCCAAATGCGTAAAATGTGCATCAGCCGCTAGTTAGGTGCGCCGCGTGCACCGTCAGCCCAGACAAGAGCAGAGCAAATAGAGAAAGAATAGAGGATAATTGTGTCTGGATGTGGATGGAGATTACATTTTACAGCAGCCTGATCATCATTTAAATACGTAAACCATCACCTGTCTTCTAGTCCATGCTATCAGCATTATTTTAATTGGTTTGTGTGTGTGTGTGTGTGTGTGTGTGTGTGTGTGTGTGTTTTCCACTTCAAACACTGGTCTAACCAACCAGACCAGCGTGTCCAGTAACACATTAATGTTAGAATTAAACAGTTTCACTTCATGTAGGCTAGGAACGTTTCACCTGCCGTGGCCCGGCCGCTTCTGCTCCACATAAACTTTGTGCGTGATCAAATGTCTCTACGCGTCATGCGTCTCCATATTAGAGACGGGAACAAGCGCTGTTCTGCCAAAGTTTCATAATTTCATAAAAAGAACATTTTTCCAGGTGACACATCCCTCAGAGAGAGCGGGTTTCCAGAACGCTTCAGTGGGAGGAAATCGTATCGCATGCACCGGGGTTCTGCGCTGCGAATCCCTCTACAGATCTTCAGCCCACTGTCCACCGTGGGCGCGCCGAGCCGCACTGAACACAGTGTCCAGTATAAAGCTCTGATGTTCTGATGGGAATCAAGTTACCTCTGTGATGTGCGTATTAAAATGTCAGCTCATCCATGCGCATCAGTGTGCGTCGGGGTAATTCTTTCAAAACAACCAACATCCTTGAGTTTATCCGTCAATATGTGGCAAGATGGAGAAATGAGGGCCCGGGCGGGATTCGATCCCCAAACTACCGGGTGAGAGTCATATGCTCTAACCAGTCAGCCAAAGAGATATTCCGTTGGCTAAGTAGCCAGGGCGCATGATCTATCGGGACACTGTGACAGGACACTCACACTGCCACACCTGATTATGAAACTTTGGCTGAATAGCGCTTGTTCCTGTCTCCAATGTGGCGACGCATCCAGGAACCTGTCTGAGGAGAAGCCCAGAATCTGACATCCTTCAGCTCAGGAAGCGCCTATGATTACGCACAAGCGTGACGCGTCAACCCAGTCTCACAGTAAGACTGGGTTGGACCTGTTCAGGTTTACGCAGACAATCTTTACATTTAGAATTGGCATACAGATGTAAAATTAATGCAGTAAAATATAAAGCTTTTTATTTAAATATCCATTCATTATTTTACAAGCAAAGAGAGCGCATCAGATGGATGGAAGAGCCGCATGCGGCTACAGAGCCGCCGACACCTACTTTATTGTCCCCAGCAATTTTTAAACCCCACTCAAGTGTATGGTTATTGTCCCCAGCAATTCTGAAAACAAACTGACGCCCTTGCAAAATGGAGAACAAAAAACGGAGAGCAGGAGCGGAGCATGAGAAAATTCGACTAAAAAAGAAACTGGCCCTTCAGGCTGATGCTGGCACATGTGTTAAAATCTCACAGTTGTTTGGTAGTGAAGGTTCAAGTAAAATCAATTTAGGAAGTGATGGAGCCTCAGCCAGAGAAGAAAAGAGGGAGGAGGAGGAGAAACCCGAGCCGGTGTTGTGCCATAAATTGACTCGCTGCCAAAAAATGATTAGCCACCGCGGGATCGCGCACGGTTAGGTAATTGCATTTCTAGACAAAATTCCCCAGGATTTCGCCCTAAAACTCAGCATATCTAGCAATATGGACATTCAGAAAGCAAAGATAACCTCTTCCGGTACTTAAACAGATGTTTATCGCGGATATTAGTGTGGCAGTGTTTGTGGCACCCTGCGCGGGAGCACGAGGACGTGCTTGTGGAAAGAGGGAGGAAGATGTGGCAGTGTGAGCATCCACAATATCCCGATTGATCATGTGCTCTGGCTGCTTGGCCAAGGAGATGTCTCTTTGGCTGACTGGTTAGAGCGTATGACTCTCACCTGAGAGTCTGGGGATCGAATCCCGCCCAAGCACTCCTTTCTGCACCTTGCCACATTAGTTTTTCCAGTTCGGAAGTTGTTTTAAGTGTTGCTATTTGTCTTAAACGTTCACAATGAGGATATATTAATCCTTTTTGCAATATTTGCGATTGAAAGATGGTTTGTGCCACAAACTTTGTGGTAAGAACTGGCTTTCTTTATGTTACAGCCTTGATACTAAAAAAATAAATAAACAATGTAAAATGGCACCCTGTATTGAATGTAAACGTTGTATAAATGGAAATAAACAATTCTCCAGCGATTTAATTTTTTCCCCTTCCTTTCTTTAGTTCACTTGACATGGAGCCACAGTTAACTAGTTTGGGGCACATTTTTACTTGAAAAAAAGTATTTAAAATGATCAAGCTTTGGCTTTAATGACACTGTGTAGGTTACTATCTATACATTACGTTGCTCTATTTAAAAGTAACAAGATAAAAGCACTTCAGCACATAAAATTAAGATTGTCACTTGCCAAATAGACTGCACCCTCCTGTTTACCTATAAGAAATGCCTCAAAATATCTTTAAATTCTTTATTGATGATTTAATTGTAGACAACTAAAATGGCATTTTACTTGCCAAAAAGTGATTGAATTGCTAAGATTTTCATGAAGGCTAAAATTGACCAAATAAGGGTTTTATGTATTATCTGTTGATGTTACTGTACTCATACTGTCTACTGTATCATCATAAACACCCCAAAAATGGCAACAAAAAAAAAAGAGAAAAAAAATAATAATTTCCCTTGCCAAAAATTGATTACAGTGTCCTGGTCACGTGTAAAGGGTTACATTTACCTAAATATTACTTTATTTATTATCTCTTGATGTTATTAGTGCCATCACAGGATGCCGGGTGTCTTTCACATTCATAAACACCTCAAAAATGGCAACAAATGATTATTTCCCTTGCCAAAAATTGATTACAGTGTCCTGGTCACGTGTAAAGGGTTAAATTGACCTAAATATTACCTTATTTATTATCTCTTGATGTTGTTAGTGCCATCACAGGATGCTGGGTGTCTTCCACATTCATAAACACCTCAAAAATGGCAACAAATGATAATTTCCCTTGCCAAAAATTTATCACAGAGTCCTGGTCACCCATAAAGGCTTAAATTGGCATAAATATTACTTCATTTATTATGATGCTGGGTGTGTTCCACAATCATATTCGAATAAACATGAAAATATTCCGTCCGAATATCTGTTTCTTGTTATAAATATAACAGCTAGAAGGATTTACAGTTAAAATAGGAGAAACATGTGACTCCCCAGGAAGGGTTGTAACACCACTTGCCTCATGCACATAAGTGAACAAAACAAAGCAGCATGGAGACACTCCATCTCCAACCACCTCTCAGGCAGCAGCCTGCACTCCCAAGTTCTACACGTCACCAGAACATAAACACTTGCAACACAATAAAAGCAGTGTTATACAAAATGGAAGGCCTGTAGTGTTTATTCTCTTACAGTAACAACTTATCAATTTTTTGGAGGAATTTATTTGAGAATTTTTTGGTTTTTAGTAATTGTGCAATAGAAAAGTAATCGCTAGATTAATCATCTAAATAGTCATTAGAATAATCGACTATTCGATAAAATAATCGTCAGAATAATCATTTTAAAAATAATCAGTTACCCCCAACCCTACTTTTTAGAATACCAGGATAGGAAGGATGGTGTAGGTTTACGTTTATTAGATTGATACATAAATACTACCAATAAGAAAGTGTACGTTGGTGTGTGTCAGAAACAGCGTAAGGCTTAATGTCTTTTCCAAAAAAAAAACAGGTGATGGGCCGGTCTCCAGTCAAAATGCCCGGGCTGAATTTTTGTCCCAGTCCAGCCCTGATGGGATCTAATGATTAGTGTGGCGTTTAACTATAGGCCACATCAGTATATTGTTTTAAGCTCTTGTTTATAACTTCCCCGTTAACGGGGTTCAGTTAGCATCTTGAAAGCTGAATTAGATGTTTACACTTTCCTGAGCTGCGTGTTTGATTAAAATGAGTAATCAGCAGCTCATGTAACACTTGTAGAAGTCTGAGGAGATGATTCAGCAGTTAGAATTAGGTGTGATTGATCAGGAACGTATCCAAAACCTTACGTTTCCATTAGCACCAAAAGACATATTGTGCTAACCTGGGTGGGCCACGTGTACAGATTACCGTCTGAGTTTGTGGTCTTACCTACGTGAAAACTCCATATTAAAATAAAAGGAATGATAGTCAGCTCGTGCAAAAATCTGTGAAGGCTGGGGAGACATGTTTAGCTTGTGATCACTAATTTTTGGGCTTTGTTTTTTACAGTCATCAGTCCAAATATGAAGCATCAACATCTACACCACTGAAGCGCCAACTGTGTATTTCTCCAACACCAGTGCCAGCTCTGTCTAGCATTCATGGAGAATCATCTGAAAGGTAAATAGCTGCATAAAAACCTACCAGGAATATTATAATTTTGCCTCTGTTTGTTTTAAGTTAGTGGTGGATTATTTTGAAAACATTCTAGAAATGGGATAATGAATGACTATAAAAAATGTATAGAAATAAATAGTAAAACTACATTTTATATAGCGCCTCTCAAGATAAAACTCTTGAGGCACTTCACAACAACAAAATTAAACATATTTAAAAAAATTATATTTTTATTTCAAAGTTTATGAGAAAAAAATAACACAATTGTGTTTTTAAAATGTAAAGAGAGAGACAGGAAATTATTTGTAAAGAAGGAATTCAGTGGATACAGAGAAATGCGTAATAAGTAGAGTGAGAAAAATAAGGAGAGGGTGATGATGATGGCCAATAGACGAGGTCTATTACCTTCAAAATGACAAAATATGTATTGATTCTAATCATATTCTTGTGCTTGTATTTTATTTTCATAGGGATGATAATTTGGAGGAGGTGATGGAACAAGGTGAAACTAAAAAAGAAGGATCTTCACAAATGTAAGTACAAGGTTGTATCTGTATTTGGCTGTCAAATTTGTCAGGAAAAGTAAACAATAATTAATTTTTTAGGTTATCTTGTGTGGGAATTGAAGCAAACATTGACGAGAAAGAGTTCAACAATATTCAAATCTCTGTGTAAGTATTCAGATGTTAATAAAATGTGTCTAATTTTCCATACTAAAAACTTTATATTGTGTATATTCAGGATAGAGTCATCAGATGACACATGGTCACCAAACAGAGAACCAGAAGTTGATTCGTCTTCAGAGGAGGGCGAAACCATCGAGATGGACAGCGGTACTGATGACAGCGGTGATGAGGACTACACACCTTATTTACACATAAGGTAATTCTTTTTGTTTAACATTCTATAAAACTGCAATAGCGCATAGTTAATAAAAAGCTTTTGTTCACAGGACTGGAGCAGCATTACAAAAAACATTACAACTTGAGACTCTGCAAGAAATTAACATAGAGGATACAGTTCATGACTGTAATATCCCAGAAGCAACTGACCGACGTTTGACAAGCAAGAAAGGTCTTCCTCAACGCTACAAGCTAAGGCCTGAGGATCCAAGGCGTTATGGTTTGCTGTCCGGAGTTCCTGCACCATCAACAGAGGAACTTCTACAACACCTACGGACTTGCGGTGATGGTAAAATAAAACATTATCTGCCTTACATCTTCCACACAATAGTCCATTGCTAATTGAGTTTATTTTTTATTTACAGGTAAAACTTTGCCACAGACATAGGTGTTGGGGGAGGCAAGAGAAAACCCAAAACCTTCTTTATTTTTGTTTCCTGTGTTTTTTTATTTTTTATTTTTTTGAAAATAAAGATATATTTTGGGGAAATAAGGACTAATAATTTAAAAATTTATGTAAAATGTTGGAGGTGGACATAATTTTTTGTTGTTGTGCAGGAGTTTTAAAATGTATGGTATTTTTACATATGCAACACAGAGTTGTGCTTTAGAACACTTTATTAGAGCATCAAACAAAAAAATATAAAAACAAACTTATGTAAAATATCAAATATATACATTTATTTACAATTGTCTTGGAATAAAACCAGTGTAGTTACCATTGGGGTCAGGGAATTTTGCAGAATAAACTCCTCCATGTGTGGTACAGTTGAAATACATGTCTGGGGAGGCTGTTGGCAGCATTTCTTTTCCAAATCAGTTGGCATATCTCTGCAGTGGGAGCATACACACCGTGAAGGTTGATTGGGTGTTGGAGGTGTTGTGGCAGGTGGACCAGAGAGGGCAAGTACATCAAAGAGAACACCAGTGTCTGTCCAGCACCATGGTAAGGATGTCAATAGCCTGCTGAGGGTTCAGGTTCTGTATGTGTTGCTACAAAAGTGGAAAGAGATGCTACAGCAACAGTTATGCTTACACGTTCAAAGTCTATTCGCTCGGAACAAAGATTCCGAACTCGAGAGAGATCTTCATCTCCAAGGTCCACAGCTGAGTGTCTCACACTTCTTCGGCCTCTGGATGCACGGCGGCCTCTAGACACACCACGGCCTCTGGATGCACCACGGCTTTGAGATGATGGTGGGCATCTCCTTTTTGCACCACGTCTTGAGGATGCAATGGGAGGTTCAAACTCTTTCTCAGAGGATTCCTCAATCACTGAACTCTAAATTGTATTAGAATAAAAAAAATTATACTAATATAAAAAGTACTCTTGCATATTAATCAATTTTGACACAGATCAGGTTTACATCTAGTCAAAATTTGGGCTAAACCAACAATAAACAAACTATGAAAACAACCATGATTATAGGAGGACTACACAGAATGCAGTGTTTATTCATGATTTCCACATAAATTATTTATATGCTTTGATATATTCATCCCATCTTGAATGGCAAAGCAATTAAAAATAAGCTAGTTACTTGTAATAAAATGCTAACAATTTGATAGGATTAATTTTATTTACAATATAGATTGCCAACTGTTACTGGTATTTTAAAATATAAATATATTTATAGATATTCTTTATAAAATGCCTTTTGTAAACAGTAAGTGTTTAATGTGCTGGTTAAATACAACTTTCTTACCTCAGATAACTCCATTGCTAACACTAGCTCAGCTCTATTACAAGAAGCAATGCTCCGATGTTGACTCTGCTTTTCCTGCGCGTGCACATTGGGAGGTGTGGCTTTCGGCTCTTTCAGGAAGGGCGGGGGAGTGAGCAACAGCCGTTCGAATTTAAAAATCTCCTCCTCCTCACCCTGACGGCGTCATCCTGCGGACTGTGCCTTTAATGTGTCACCAAGATCTTGCATTGATGATGGTAGAGTCTGACCGCTGCACAAAGCCTTCTCCAGCACATGCCAAATATTGTCAATGGGGTTAAGGTAGCCGATGCATGTGAGAAAATGATGTCTCATGCTCCCTGAGCCACTCTTTCACTATTTAAGCCTGATGAATCCTCGCATTGTCAACCTGGAATATGCCCATGCCTTCAGGGAAGATGGAATAACCTGGTCCTTCAGTGCATTCAGGTAGTCACCTGACATCATTCTTGGAGCACATCCTGTTGCTGAACCTAGACCTGACCAACTGCAGCAAGCCCAGATCATAGCACTGCCCCCACAGGCTTGTACAGTAGGCACTAGGCTTGATGGGTGCATCGCCTCATCTGCCTCTCTTCTTACCCTGGTGCACCATCACTCTGGAACAGGGTCTATCTGGACTCATCAGACCAGTTTTTAATAATGCATTGGACAGTTCTTTACCCAGTTTTAGTCGTTTCTGCATCTCCTTCGATGTTTTCTCTGCTTGATGCCAATGATCTGACCCTTTTGTGAATATTTCACTGTAAAATTCCCACATATTGTTCCTTTAAGAACAAGTGGGGATTTTGGACAATAATGCTAATGATCTATACAATGAAGCTTTGGGAAAGAGTGGTTGGACCATAGCTTAAGAGAGTGTTTGTGAGCAGCAAAACAAGATAGAGTTCTACTGATGCTATTTTAGGTTTATGGATGCTGATGGAGAAGTACAGAGAATGTCTGTACTTCACATTGTGTCTTTGTAGATTTTGAGAAAGCCTACAACAGGGCGCCGTGGTGCGCGAGGAGGTCTGGAGTGGTAGACAGCTACACTAGAGTGATGCAGAACATGTATGAGAGCTGTGAAACAGCAGCAAGTTGTGCTGTGGGAGTGGCAGAGGAGTTCATGGAGGTGGGACTGTATCAAGAAGGTTAGCCCCTTGTGCGCTTTGATGATGGATTGGCTAATAGATGATGTTAGACAGGAGTCTCCATGGACTATGATGTCATCATGATCTGTAGTGAGAGCAGGGTGCAGGTGGAGGAGAAGCTGGAGAGGTGGAGATGTGGACTGGATAAGAGAGGAAAGAAGATTATTCTCAGCAAGACAGAATCCAAGTGTGTAAATGAGAGGGACACCAATGGAACAATGATGAAGAAGCAGAAGTAAAGAAAGCAAAGGACTTTAAGTTATATAAGATCTATGGGCCAAAGCCACAGAGAGGGTGGAAAAGAGGTGAAGTAGTGTGTGTAGCAGGTGTGATGTGTGATAAAAGGGTTTCAGGTGTAGAAGACAGTAATGAGAGCCGCCATGTTGTTTGGTTTAGAGACAGTGTCCATGAGGACAAGACAGGAGACAGAACTGGAGGTTGCAGAGCTCAAGATGTTCAGGTTCTCTTTGGGAGAGACAAGGATGGATGGGATCAGGTAAGAGTCCATCAGAGGGGCAGATCATGCTAGATGTTGTGGAGATAAAGTCAGACAGGACAGACCGAGATGGCTTGGACAAGTTCATAGGAGAGACATGTCCAGTGGAGAGACAATAATGACATTGGTTTTGGGGCCTTTACTGTTTTATTTTTTTGACACCACTCGGCAACCTTCTGATCATGTGGGGGTTGTTTCCACTGTAATGTGGATGACCTACAGTTGAATGTCTGTATTACGGGACCGAGCTGTGTGGGGTATAAATATCTGCAGCCTTGTCTAACAGCTGTGAAACACTGGCTATCACATCATTTCCTGTTCTTAAACATGAGGAGATGATGTGTGTCGCTCCTATAAAACTTTGGCCACACACACAAGCCATCACAGTAAAGGTTGCAGAATGCATTTTTAAATGTAGGAGTGTGGTTGGACCCAACCTTGTCATTCGACCTTCATTTGAAAGAAACTGTCGAAACTGCTTTCTTTCTTTGTTACAGCTGCACGTATCCTAGCAGGAGAACAGGACCACATCACGCCTGTCCTGAACTCACCCTCATGGTTGCCATGTAGAGCTAGAATGGATTTGAAGTTCTTGCTGTTGACCTACACGGCTCTCCACAATTTGGCTCCACCTTACATCACTGACCTATTAGACCTATACGTTCCATCTAGGGCACTACGATAATAGAGCACTGACTTTTTACGCATTCCAAAAATAAAGCGGGTGACTCTGGGTGGGCGTGCATTTGCTTTACGTGCTCCGTCACTCTGGAATTATCTGCCACTGGATGTCGGACAAGCATGCTCGGTGGAAGTGTTTAAAGCTAAACAGAAAACTCACCTTTTTAACAAAAGCTTTTACTGATTGATCACTCAGTTCTTTTCAGGCATTTTAACTTAACCTCCTATTTCAGCTTGTTCTTATTTCACCTTTGATTTTAATGTTTTACTCCATTTGGCTACAGCTGCTGCTGTTGTTTTATATAGTGGTATGCTGTGCAGGTGTGTGGTATGCACGCTTTGTTTAAAGGCGCAACATAAATAAAGTTATTATTATTATTATTATTATTATTATTATTATTATTGTTATCAGTATTATAGGTAGAAGGACGCTAAGGTTGGATCCTCCAAGCAGGAGGCTGAGAGGAAGACCAATAAGGAGATTTTTGGATGTGGAGAGAGAGGACATGAAGTTAGTTGGTGTGAGGGTGAGGGATGCAGAAGACAGGACTAAATAGATGCAGACACACACACACACACACTGACACGCACGCGCACACACTCCTGCATGCACATACGCACACGTTCACATGCACATTCACACACACACACACATGTGCAAACACTCACATGCATGCATACGTTCACACGTGCGTACACACACACACACACACACTGACATGCACGCGTACACACTCCTGCATGCACGTACGCACACGTTCACATGCACATTAACACACACACACACACACACTGTCTCTCACTCACGCACGCGTACACACTCACACCCATGTACACGCTCACACACCCACGCACACACACACTCACACGCACACTTTTGCTCACACACACAAACACACGCACTCACACACACACACAAACCTCCTGTGTTGACTTCAAAAGGTACTTTGATCAGAAATGTGGCACCCAGCTCCCCTGGATTCTCTTTTCTGAGGTGAATTATGTCTTTTACGACTTTTCTTCTACCGGCTTACGAGCATCAGAGCCACAGGGCTGTGTAGGCCTTATGTTGGTATTGTTGTATTTTAAGGCTTTGCTGTGTGCCAGCTGCTCGCCATCCTTAGCAGGAGAGACGATCAAAATCCTGTCCGACTGATCTAAAAAAATAAACAAAATGGATTCTGTTTCAACCACACAGATAAAACAAACAAGGGTTAGAGAAGGAGAGGATGATGTGTGATAAGAGGAAACTCTGATTTTCCTTCCGTGGAGAAGTAATTGTTGTACCCTTGACGATGAGAGCAGCGTCCTGCTCTCTGAGATCCTGTTCCTCCTTTACACCCTCGAGTCCAATCATCTTTTAATATGCTTTATGGCCTTTTTTAAACCATGCATTCACCGATCACACTATTAGCTAAGGGATGTGGGAGTGGAAAGCTGTGGGTATATTATTCACATGAAAGCATTCTATCACAG